TTGAACTGGCGCTGCAGAGGCTGCGGGTAGCTTTGCAGCCCAGCGCTCAACCGCTGCGCCACTGGGGAGGCCCCATTATGATATTTTAAATACAGTGCTTGGGCCCATATGCCAGAGTATAATAATTCATTACTGGAGTGCAACAGTGTGCCAAGATTGTGGAAGCACTGACAAATTTGCATATAATTCACATGGTCTCAGAAAGCTAATATTTCATTTCTTAAGAAAAGAAAATGTTATCATCTTCAACTGAAATACAAAGAAAACCTGGCATTTTCCTCATAGAAACAAATCAACATAATTCTAGTTAAACTGTTTCATTTCAATGTTAAATTCAAACATTATATTTGGAAAAACTGCAACATAAATATTTTATTGATCAAAATAGCATTTCAAGATTTCTAAGTCACCTTGCCTTTATAATGTCTAGCCTAAAATACCTGCTATATGTACCATCTCTTGTGATTTTGTAAGACCATATTTTTGGTCAAGAAAATAATCACAAAAATCTTCAACTTTCACTAAGCATATTCAAGACTGTGTTCAAAATATAATTTAAGTTTGGAATGGGCCAAGCAGGTATCTCAGGTGGGTGAGGAGAGCCTCAGGCTCCTTGTAGGCCCCAAAAGCAGCAGAGCAGAAATGGCAAACAACCCTACTGCTGCAGGTCCTGGAAGATCCTCTATGAACCCCACAACAGGACCTGAAAATCTTTTGTACTCCTATATGCAAATCATGAACTAGAAGAGAAAGAAATTAAGAAAACAATCCCATTTACAGTAGCATCAAAAAGTTAAGTACCTTGGAGTAAACCTAACAAAAGAGGTTATTCATTAAATTAGAAGAATTAACATTGTTAAAATGTCCATCTCACTCAAAATAATATATAGATTCAATGCAATCCCGATCAAAGTTTTGCTGAAATTCTTCAAGGAAATAGAGTAAACATCACTGAACTTTATATGGAACCATAAAAGACCATGCATAGTCAATGCAATCTTGACAAAAAAAGAGGAATTAAGGTATTATGTGCCCTAACTACAAACTATACTACAAAATTACAGTAATCAGAACAGTATGGCACTAGAATAAAAACAGACACACAGACCAACAGGATAGAATTGAGAGCCCAGAAATAAATCCTCACTAATATCAATAGTTTGTTTACAACAAAGGAGCCAAGAGCACACAATGAAGAAAGAAAAGTCTCCAACAAATGGTACTGGGAAAAGTGGAGCCACAAATAGAAAAAAAAAATGAAACTAGATCATTCTCTCACACCAAACACAAAAATCAATTCAAAATAGATTAAAGACTTGAATGTAAGACTAGATACCACAAAATACAAAGAGGAAATGTAGCAAAACACTCCATGACATTGGCTTCAGTGTCATCTTTGGGGACTCAAATCCAATGGTAACAAAAACAAAAGGAAAAATAAACAAATGGCACTACATTGAAGTAAAAAGCTTCTGTACAACAAAAGAAACTATCATTAAAACAAAAAGACATCCTACTGAGTGGAAGAAAGCATTTGCACATCATACATCCAACAAGGAGTTAATATCCAAGATCTACAAAGAACTCATACAACTCAATAAAAAGAAAACAAAGAAACCAATATTAACAAAATGGGCAGGGCCTCCCCAGTGGTGCAGTGGTTGAGCGCTGGGTTGCAAAGCTGCCTGTAGCCTCTGTAGCACCGGTTCGATCGCCAGCTGCCAAGCGAGGGTCCCACATGGCGCGCAGACCTCTCCTGCCGCGCCCACTGCTCCCCTCAGCAGTGTACTTTGTCAGTCTGCCTGTTCTGCTCTCCGCTCTGGCTCTGGTGAATTCTCTCACCCTCCTGCGCTTCTGACTATACCCAGTGCTTGCATAAATAAATAAACAAATCTTAAAAAAAAAAAAAAAAAGACTACAAGCCCTTATTTAAAAAAAAAAAATGGGCAGAGGAGTTAAATAGGCATTTCTCCAAAGAGGACATAAAGATGGCCAACAGGCATATGAAAAAATGTTCAGCATCAAACATCATCAGGGAAATGCAAGTCAAAACCATGATGAGATAACACCTCACTCCCATGAGAACTGCCCTATCAAAAAACCCAGAAGCAATAAATGCAGGTGAGGGTATGGTGCAAGGGAACTTTGGTGTGCTGTTGGTAGCAATGTAGATTGGTCCAGCCACTATGGAAAATTGTATGGAGATTTCTCAAACTACTAAAAACAGATATTACCATATGACCCAGCAACTAAGGAGTTTCTCTGTTATGGAGCAAGAATTCCGCAATGCAAATATATTTATATAACATCCAAAGTTTCTAGTTCCTCCCTCCAAATTTATGTGGAGGTGCATTCTAATTACAGATATTCATTTCTCTTCAATTGTTTTCTGAGTTATATAAATAATGAAAGTATTGTATTACTATCAGAAATCATGGAGGTCCTAATGTTAGAAGGTGTGCTATTGCAACAAGCACCAGCCTGCTCAGTGTCTCATTTGAAGATGAGTATATGCTATTGATGGAGTCTTGAGTCTATTTGATAGAATAAATTAAGAACCCATTTTAGGGACTTAAGAGAATTACTAAAACAAAACATTATCTAGATGTGCTCAGCCTATAAAACTCAAGATATACATGAGTGAACATTACTATCCTCAAATAACACAATTTACTTAAAATAGGCTAAAAGTTGGAAATGAAAAGAAAAAAAAAAGAACATTGCAAATACCAACTAATTAAAAACAAGTTTGAAAAAGTGTGGTGTGATACCTCAGTCCACGCGTGAACGATGAAACATATACTGTACTTTCACACGAACTTCAGAGCATTTGGTATTAAGGGACAGTTATTCAGGGAAAGAGGAAAGTGCTTAGTTCAAGTGTCTTTAGTGTTGTTTTTATTGGATTCTCATTTTTTCTCCTAGTTTTCCAAGAGCTTGTCACTTATCTAAAAAGGGTGATTATCCCAGCATTTGAAAATACAATATCAGGAGCTCTAAGTAGATTTATGAGATTCTCCAAAAGAGTACAATGATACAGTGGAAAGTAGGACTGCTGGGAGATTTCCATTTAAATTAAAGTCAAACCTCAAATATTTTAATGGAGAAAGAATCATACACATTTCCTTAACTTAGTAGATATAAATTATTTATATTATCACATCAATTTGTCCATATAGTCTAATTTTAACAAACAAAATTTCTCCCATGGGAAATATTTCAATGTTCATAGAGTAATTTCAATAAAATTAAAATTTCACGCTTAAGAACATTAATTATGATAAAAATCCTGTGTGGATTCAAGAGTAAATGGCCAACCCTATTTTCAGTTATTACTTTAGAACTTTATACTCCACTATTTTCTGTTAATGAAAATTTGAAAGAAAAAAATTAACATAAACTCAACTTCAATACAATTAACAAAGTAATATATGTTTTTAAACTTTCATGAAAAAATATTTTAAATGTATGAGAAATCATTTACTTAAGGGTTTTAAAGCCTTTTTTTAGAAAAATTCCCAAACAAGATGAGGTATTCCTTCCATTATGTCATAGCTAAAACCTAAGCATGGGAAAGTTTCTTAGAGAACATACAGTGACAATTCCTACCCATTGGCGGAGTTTCTGCTATAGCATGTATAATGAGTAGCTTTCCACAGTCTACCTGAACACTTCTGGGATTGGGAGGTGGCATTTACTACCCACAGTCGAGCCTAATCTACAGCAGGGGAGTGCTCATTGTGATAAAGTTCCTCCTACTGATGAGCAGAAATCTATATTTTTATTATCTCAACCCAGTGGATACAGTTCTGGCACCTATAAACACCTCAAATTCCAATTCTTCTTTGCCCTAATTGGAAGTAGCAAATCCCATCATTGTGACTACAGGGGAGGGAGAGAAGTGTGACAGAGCAATGGACAAGGAGATGGAAGACCAAAACATTTGGTTCACATGGTCGTTTCATGTGAGTCAGTGACAAACATAATTCAAGACTAGAAAAGAAAATGTGCATGCATGCATGTATATGTATTTTTAATACATAAGTACATGTATGTGTGCAAAATGTATGTATATGTGTGTGTACTTATGCATGTATGGTATATGAATGTGCATTGTGTGTGCATATTGATGTGTGTGTATAAAATGGCAGGATTAACTTTCTCTGTCTTTATCTCTAAGCCTCAAAAGTTGCAAAAAGTAGCAACACATCACAAAGGGAAGTACGGGCAGCCCAGATACTCAATTAAAGAACTAAAATATGTTCATTAGATTTTAAGGCAAGAAAGAGAGCAAACACATAGGAAACTAGAACCAAAAGAATAAAAGGGTTTGAGTAAATTCTCAGGATAGTTGGTTAACAGAATACAATCTAGAATTAATCAAAATGTTGCTAAATTTTATTCACCAAAAAGAATAAAACTATATACATATCTAATAAGGCAAAATGATAAGCCTATATAGTTTGTTATAAAATTAGAAACAAATAACTGGATAATATAATTAGTCTTTTTCTAATAAATTCATAAGCCCTTTCCAAACTGTATAGCCTGGTAAACTACAAAAATTATTAATTTTGACCCATGGACCAAACCTGGTACAAAACTTACTTTTGTAAATAAATGAAAGGCCATGCTCATTCATTTGTTGTCTATGGTTATTTTCACACTTTGGCATCAGAGTTGTGAAGTTGTGACAGAGAGTATTTAGGCCCACAAAGTCTAAAACATTTACTAAGTGTTCCTTAGTAAATTTCAGAAAAATTTGTAGATCCCTGTACTATATAATTACAACTCTTAAACGTGGAAGTGACATTGTTAAATTGTGAATTCTGAGAAAGACTTTACTTGCTTTATCATGCAGGTTCTTTGCAAACAGACCACAAAAAGGAGAACTGCAAAAAAAAAAAAAAAAAAAAAAAGTCCCAAAAGCTTTGAGGGTATTTTATATTTTAGAGAAATAATCAACTCTTCCTTCTGTTGGTTTTACTTGTTATTCCTACCTGTTTTTCCTCCCCTTCCTCTGAAGTAGCGCTGAATGGGACCTCTTTGCTGAGTTGGTAACCTTTCAAGTTTTCTTGAATGGACCAGCTGCAGCTCTTTTGATCTGTTGTACATTCCTCGTCACTTTCTGGGTTATTTTTCCATTCTTTCATCATTTCTAACACATTAGTTCTTGCTGAAGAAAGTGTTTTCCCCTATTATTAACAACAAAAATTGAAAATATATCTTTTAGTAATATATTCCTCTAAGTTCAGTAAGTCACATGACAAATTATATCCTGTTAAATAAATAGCAAAACTTCTGAAGCTGTGGGGCATATTCCTGGTGCTGATATGATTCACACTTCTTGACTAATATCATTTACAACAAGTCAAAGTTTAGGGGGAAGTATCAAGGTTTGAAAGAATAATTTGGTATGCTTGTGAAAAGAAACTTGATATAGCATTTCCCTGGAATCCAAAGACCCCCCCTTTATAGAGTTATACTTAGAAAACTAGTAGGGAAGCTGAAGAATGAAAGAAGTTGCCCCAAATGGGTACAACATTAAAGGCAAGCCTATATAACATTAAAATATCTAGTTTTAAAAAATCTAAATTTAGTTGATTGTTAAGTGCTGTGCCCCAGAATACACATGTTTGATTTGATGGCCCTTAGTTGACTAGAAGATTTAGATATAATGTGGCCATTCAATTATAATGGATTCAATATAGTCTGTTGTTAAATTCAGATATACTAGAAATTACAAAAATCGACCATTTTATATTAGCTATATTTTCTCAAAAATAATGTTCCATTTAATATGCCAACAAATAACTACATGAACGCAGCCTCAAATGGCTCCTTTTAGACTGCATATAACTTAAATATTTCATTCCAATTCAGACAGCAGAGTTTGGCTGAGAAATAAGAATCACATTTAGATTAAAATGGCAGTTCAGATATAGGTACAGATATGGAGAGAATTTAAATTAATTTGGTGTGTGGGTGAAGTATTAAGCATCAGTGACAGAATACTATGCACGGTACTTTAAGAGCAACCACTTAAATTCGCTGCTGAGAATTTATAGTTTAATATATTCATGGTTAAAGACACAAACACGCAAGTATGAAGTGGTAATAACTAAATGAAGATCATCGTGCTATTATTTGTCTTTATTTCTCCTATTTCATTCTATATCAGAGAAGATCTTATATTCTAGTCCAGCAAGATGGTGGCAGTGAAGACCTCCAGCTTGCCTCCTCTACAGTGCACAACAAAACTGTTGCAAAACAAATTGAAAAACCCCCAAGGGAAAAATTGATTATAAGTATATACAAAAGGAGCATCAGCCCCACTGAAAGGAGTAGGAAGTGAACTTTCTTTAAAGTATTATCAACCCATAAGGGAAAGAGGGACTGTGGTGCAGAGCTTCCTAGAGCTGTTAACTTGTACACATGCCAATACCTGGGCTCCTAAACCCCAGAACTGCACCTGATGGGGGATGCACAGGCTGTGACATTCAAAACACTGCCACCCCTACACCAGACTGAGATATCTAAAGCACCTGTCACCCCACAAACACTTTACAAGAGGAATTTCAAATTCCTGAGTCTGCTAGAGATGATTGTTTGATGCCTATTGCCCTAGTCGTCTCTTACACCTACCACTCCTCGCCAATACCAGTCCCCCAAGTACTCCAATAAGCACAAAAACAACTGTTGAAAAAGTATCCTTACTAAAACCCATACAAAATAAAAAAACGAGGAGACACAAGAACACAATAAAAATACCAGAACAACAACAACAAAACCCTGAAAGGAGCCCAACTCAGTGGAGTTGCAGAACTTGACAGAAGAGGAAAGCAGGGTAACAGTCTGGCTATACTAACGGAATTTCAAAAAACAACAAAGGACATAAAACAAGCTAGAAGGGATCATGCTCAGGGAAATAAATCAGAAAGAAAAAGAAAAATACCGGATGGTCTCACTCATAGCAGAAATTTAGAAAACCTAAATAAGAGACCAGGAAAAAGACTAATCAATACAAAGTAAAAATCAAAATCAACAAGCAACTACAAACCAGAGACACACTGGAGGGGGTGGGGGGTGAGGGAGAGGGGAAAGGAAGGACTAGAGTCAAAATAAGGGGGGGGTGCAATTGTATGGGGAATATAACCAAAATGAAAATGCATACATTGTGCAAAGATGAAAAAAGATGTAAGAATTATATAACATAAAATATTTAATTAAAAAAACAAAATAAAAATAATGAAAATATGAGGAAGCTACATTCAGAAAAAAATGATGCCCACAAAAAAACTTGATGTTAAAGAATTTCCTGAGGTAATTCACAATAAAATGTTATGTTATTATAACATACCACAATTAATCATGCTCCAGCCAAAGTATATTTGGATCAATTCAGAGTTTCTTTTTCTTTACAGTTAAATAATCATCATTGGATACACAGTAAGTCCTTGCCTAGCATGGATAGGTCCTTAGAAACTGTGACTTTAAGGAAAGTCTGCATAATGAAACCAGGCCCCTGAATTGTTTCCTTTTCATTCAACATCATCAGCGGGGATTCTTTTTCTTCCCCTTAAAAAGGTTATACAAGATAAGACTGAATGAAATGGCATTATTCAAAGATCTGCTGTATATACCACATTTTCTTTGTTCAGTCATCTGTTGATGGACACTTAGGTTGTTTCCATACCTTAGCTATTGTAAACAATGCTGCAATGAACATAGGGTCACATACATCTATTTGAGTTATCTTTATCCTTTCTTTGGTGTTTCTTGGGTTTACTCTTCTTTGGATAAATACCTAGAAGTGGGATTCCTGGATAATATGATAACCCTATTTTTAATTTTTTGAGACACCACCATACTGTTTTCCACAGTGGCTGCACCTATTTATCTTGTAGGCAGCACATAGATGGATCGTGTTTTAATCCACTCAACTTACTATAGCTTTTGATTGTGGAATATGGTCTATTTACATTAAAATTTATTGATCGGTATGTATTTATTGCCATTCTGTTCATTGATTTCTGGCTGTTTTGTAGTTCTTCTGTTTCTTCTCTTAATTCTCTTTCTTGGTAATTTGATGATTTTCTATAATGGTGTGCTTAGATTCCTTCCCCCTATCTTTTGTGTTTTTACCATAAGCTTTTGCTTTATGGTTACCATGAGTCTCATATAAAAACTTATATTTATAACAGCCTATTTTAAGTAGATAACAACTTTGAACACATTCTAAAGCTTTATATTTTCACTCTCCCCCCACATTTTGTTTTTAATGTCATAATTTACATCTTTTTGTCTTATATATCCTTTAAAATCAATGTAGTTATAGTTATTTTAATTACTTTTTGAAAGTCTTCATTATATCTTTACAAATGATTACTCCAGCACCTTTATGATACTGGATTATTGTGAATTTTACTACACATTACCTTTTTTAGGGAAAGTTATACTTTCATGTTTTCCTGTTACTAATGAGTGCCTTTTGCTTCAGCTTAAGGGAGTCATTTTAACATTTCTGGTAAAGCTGATCTTGTGGTGATGGACGTCTTAGCTTTTGTTTGTCCCAACTCTTAATGATTCCTTCAATTCTGGATGATAAGTTTGCTGGGAATTTTTTATCAGAAATATTTTTTTTGCCACACATTAAATATATTGTGCCACTTTCCTTTCTTCAGGCCTACAAAATTCCTGCTGAAAAACCTGCTAATAGTATCCATAGGGGTCCCCATAAATATAATTGTTTTTCTCGTTTTTAAGATTCTCTTTCAACCTTTAATTTTTGACATTTTTATTTAATTATAATGTATCTTGGTCTGGGCTTTTTTGGTTTCCTCTAATTTAGAACTCTCTGAGTTTCCTAGATCTGTATGTCTTAATTCCTAGCTTAGGGAAGTTTTTGGCCATTATTTCTTCAGTTAAACTTTCTGCTCCCTTTCTTGCTCTTCTCCTTCTGAGACCCTATAATGCAAATGATGTTGTGCTTGATGGTCATATGTCCTTTAAACTAAATTGACTTTTTTCCTTTTTTTGTTTCTTTTTGCGCTGTGATTGGGTGAATTCTATTGTCCTGTCGTCAGGTGCACTTATCCTTTTTTGAACTATCAGCAAATCAGTTATCTCCATTTCATTAAGGACTTTTTTTTCTTAGGTTATGCCTTGTCCTTTCATGGAACATGTTCCTCTGAATTTTCATTTTCCATGACTCTCTGCGTCACTTTCTATGCATAAAAGGGCTACTTCTCTCAGTCTTGAGAAAGTAGTATTGTGTAGAAGATGAACCTTATTGGTCAACCCTGGTTTAGATCCTGGTTATCTCTCAAATCTTTGTGATTATTTATTTTATTTTTAGTAGCTCCCAATAATTGAGGTTTGCCAAGAATTGTCAGTGTCTCAAAGAAGAAAATCTCACTCAGCACCTAGTTTTAGGATGATTAGAAACCAGACCCTCAAGTAGCAGTTTAAAAACTATGCAAATATGGTATTGGAACAAGAACAGACATACAGACCAATGGAATTGAATAGAAAATCCAGAAATCAACCCACAGATTTATGGTCAACTAATCTTTGACAAAGGAGCAAAGACTATGCATTGGAGCAAAGAAAGTTTGTTCAATAAATGGTGCTGGGAAAACTGGGTCGCTACATGCAAAAGAATGAAGCTTGACCACTACCTCACACCATACACAAAAATCAACTCAAAATGGATTAAAGAACTAGACATAAGACCTGAAACCATAAAATATATAGAAGGAAATATAGGTGAAACACTACGTGATTTGCACATCAAAGACATCTTTACAGACACATCACCCAAAGCAGTGATAGTGAAGGCAAAGATAAAAGCTGGGACTACATCAAATTAAAGAGCTTCTGCACAGCAAAAGAGACAATAACAAAAACAAAGAGAAACCCCACTAACTGGGAGAACATTTTTGCACCCAACATTAATGATAAAGGACTGATCACAAAATCTGCAAAGAGCTGATGAGACTCAACAACAACAAAGAAAATAATCCAGTCAAAAAATGGGCAGAAGAGCTAAAAAGAAACTTCTCTGAAGAGGAAATGCAAATGGCCAACAGGCATATGAAAAAATGTTCAACATCACTTGTCATCAGGGAAATGCAAATCAAAACTACCATGAGATACCATCTTACACCAGTGAGAATGGCACATATTAAAAAAA